GAATCCGTTCAAGAAAAAGGCGAATCCGTGTCCAGGATATCCTACGTAAAATCTGACTAAATATCTTGAAATATCAATGTTTTCTAGATTAAGATAGTTCAAGTGATTATATTTACATTTGATTTACACTGATAAGATCATAATACACTATGTTAGAAAAAGATTAAGAATAGATTTCATATCTTGAAATTCAAATAAAACAACTTTTGATAGAAGCTTTGATAAAACTATTCACTGTATCACGAACATACGATACAGAATAGGTGATATACAAAGAAAAATCGAAAATTTTGTGATTTTTCTGATGTACAAGTCATGATTGAAATATTTTGTTTTATTTTCTAGGTTGTTGCAAATATGACATTAACAGATCAGAATGTCCTTGAAATCAACTGTGGCAGAGGTGCTGGTGCTGCATGGTGTGTTCATACTCATGCATCTCACTCTTATATTGGAATAGATCCTTCTCAAGATGTCATTAATCTATGCCAACGACTTTATTCGACAATTCCTCGACTTTTTTTCGTAGTAGCTGATGCAACAAAACATTTACCATTTGAAAATGAGTCAATTGATATTATTCTTTGTATTGAAGCAACGCATGCTTTTGGCGAACCAGTAGCAATCGCACAGTTTGTCAATGGAGTCGTTCGTGTACTTCGTCTAAATGGATATCTTCTATGGTGTGATTTTTGTTACATGAATGGATCAGATACATCAATTTATGATCTAATAGCAAATGATGAATTAATTATTTAAGAAAAGATTAATATTACAAGGAACGTTCTTCATGCGCTTGACATTCAAAATAAATCTCGTACTGATTTCATTCGACGTTATGTTCAACAAGAAGAACAAGAATATTTTCGTCTGTTTGCTGGATTACCCGGTACTCAAATTTATGAAGATATGAGCCAAGAACGTTCCCAATATTGGCGGGCTGTATTTCGAAAGAAGATAACAAAAAATATACCCGTTATCTGAAAACAAATTTTAACTTAACAATAGAAACACTTTATTTTTATCCTTACTTACTAATATTATATTATTCTACTTCATACTAATATCTCATTTTTATTTCTTAACTAATAAATTATCTTTTTATTTTTGACACAAATGTTGTATTGGATCTAGAATCATTCGATTAGTTTTAGTTGATATGTTCAGAATAAAAATAGAATATGATTTGGATTTAATAATATGTATTTAAACTGACAACAGAATGTCTTCAAATTCACTCTAATTATTATTTAATTCAATCATAATACCATTCAATATACTGATGTAGTACTTTTACAATTTAATCATGATTAACCATTCATCCGTACATTAATTAATCGAAAGTAGTGTTGAGTCGACCATGGAAATCGTTTATACAAGTGAACAATACGACATTGATATGAATAGATTTCAGTGTGAATATAGGTATGAGTAAAGAAAAGACGCATCTGCACTCCCCACACCCTCAAGATGGTGAATGCATGTGTGCGTGAATTAAATGAAATGCAGTGGAATAAGAAAATAGATTGTGACTGTGAATTTTCATTTTTTTCTTCTTGTTCTCTTCTATCCATAGGTTATCCTTATTGTCAAATTGTATGTCTTGATCTTCTACTATTATAAACTATTATTCTTTCATAAAAAAAAGAGTTCACTTCGGTACAAATAAATTTTTCTATTACTTCTATATTCTTATTCTCTCTTTTTTATCCGTACTTGTTAAACATATGATTGTGAGCTTATCCGTTTTATTTCTTTTTTTCCTTTGTCAATCTATGTATAAAGCGACAATAAAAACTAAATGTAAAAAAGAAAATTGGAAGCGAAATCTGATGAAAAAAAAATAATAATATATTTCCTGTCGTCATATAGTTGATGATATTGTTCGGCAACTAAAGCGGCTGGGAACCTGATTTGTGTTTCAGAAGTGAATAGCCATGTTCAGAGAAGTAAAATTATGAAAACTGATTGAGCAGAACTGGAGCTATCAATATTTTTCTGTTTAGAATCCAACAATACAATTGGCTCGCCTGTAAGTGAAAATATCTTAAGGGTGAGAGCGTGAGTAGCGAGTTGAGTAAAATTAGAATAGTATCATATTTATACAGAGTTTTGATATAGTGTAAATGTTTATTAAATTGGATAGTTCAATAATGCTGCCTTTCATAGAAAATATAAACTGTAATTCAAAGTGATAAAAATCAGAAGATCTCTGTGTATTTTACGTCTTTATGTTTTACATGTGAAAGCAAAAGATGAGTTTAACATCAGCAAACGACGTTCAAATCGATTTTATTATTATTCACATAGACAGAACAATATATTAGGTTTAATTGAAATCTTTTTAAATAATTTTGTACTTCTATGAATATAAAAAAAATATGTGATAATATTTATATTAAAGTTCAGGTGCAACTTGATTAATGTCATTTGTTGGCTTGCACCATCGCTGAAAATACATCGTGTAAAGTACATGAAAGAATTGTTGTCGATATCGCTTTGATACACAAATATAAATGTAGAAAGGTACCTGTCAATGAAAGTAACTATAGAATTGATAAAAAATTTCAAATGAGATAATTACCGTATAGTATGAATAATAGATACATATTGTTATACCTAAGACTAATTGTATATGAGCATTAATGATAGGATCAATACTGAATTGTATATTACTTGTAAGTGTAGTTAATATAAAGAACGGTGAAATTAATAAAACACTAATCAAAGCTTGTATAAGAACCATTGATGTTATTTGAATTTCATGTTGACGACGAACAAGAGGTACTGCTGTTCGATAAGATATTTGTTTCATATTTCTATAAAGTAATAATCCAAAAATAATGATAAATAAAAGAGGAAATGCATCTAATAAAATCGGAGTATAAAAATGATTGACATAACTTTGATAATTGCCATTTGTAATTGTACAAATCGATGAATTTGTTGCTGGTGAGAATACTGCATTATAATATATTAAATGAGGAGAACAATATATTATCCAAAAGAGACTAATTATTGCACATAAACGATAAGCAATCTTTCGATGACTCCATTGTTGTAATCGAATATATTTTGATGTTGCCATATATTGATCAACTAAAGCCATACAAATACATGACATGGAAATAAGTGCACAAATTTGAACAGTATATACTCTTATTGTACAACTACCTACGTTTACACTTATTCCATTGATTAATAATCCTTTAACAAGAATAAGATAGAAAAAACCACTCAATAATTGAATAATATTGACTAATGACATTATTATTAAATAAACTCCACATGAGTTTTCTCGGAATATTCGAAGACTAAGAAAAATAATTATATTTAATATTCCACCTAAAACTCCAATAATGACAATTGGTAAACCAGCATAAACATAGATTTGACTTGAAATATAATTTATTGATGAAACTATTGCAGAAGACATTGGTGATTGAAATCTAGCAGATGATTTTCTTATCTGAAATTAGATCTACATCCATAATATACGTGTTCATAAATGAATGCACTGAGAATGCAACTTCAATGTCATCTTGTAATCCTGAAAAAATAATTAGATAATAAAGATTTAATTCTAAATCCATCTAGTTAATGATTTTTGAAATATTCTTCAAATTAATTTCTTTAAGTGAGAAAAATTATATCATTCAATCGACTCTTTTTTAAAATATTTCAAAATAATTATTAAAAAGAAGAACTCACTAAGAAAAAATCCTTGCTGATGTACCTAAATGGCAATCTGACACGCTTTCCTTTCTAGAGATATTTATTAAAAGAAATTAAAAAATTAATAGAAAAATCTTTTATATTTTTTTAAATTAATTTCTGTCAATCATCATAATAAATAAGGATTTTTCTATTAAGTAATTGTCATAAACAGATAAGATTAATAAATTTTGAAGGACATCAAGCTTTTATAATTTCTCACTTTATTGTATCGCTGCTCAGCTTGTATGAGCGTGATGCGATGACGTTTTGCCACACTTTTAGAATAACATCAACTAAAACACTCTCTTTTTTCCAGAAACGTATATAGATCTCTATTACCTTCATATCTCCTAAAAATATCAGCTTACAGGAGTGAATGGTTTAGGAATAGATGAAAAAATTGTGGATTGTATTCAAGGAAATGTTCTAAGCACGTTTTGTAGTCAACAGTTTCAAATATCTAATGAAGAAAAAATATCCTTCGAACAGATTTATTATTTTGAAAACAGATCGGTTGGATTAACGTAATGTGATGATGATGACTTTTGTAACCATTTTTTCTATGCTTATCGTTTTATAATATAAACAACTCTGTCAAGACAAGATATTATTTTTATTTTACCGTTTAGAGTAAATTTACCTTTTTTTCTTTAGCCATGCCAAATTTTATAATTTCCTCTGTGATGGTCATAAAGACTGAATAAAATAGAAAAAAAATTTATTTCTAATGACTAAGCTAAGTGTAGATTTATTGAGAAAAAAAATGTCTATTTTTTTTATCCATTCTGTATGTCCATAAACCATTTTTCCATCGTTGGATGTTCAGAAAGATCAATAGTCAGATTTCTGCCAATTTTTTTCCATAATTCTGCGTATTGATAAAAATGCTGTATAATAATAGAAAAATTTCCTTCGCCAACGGTATATTCAACCGTCCGCACACAACATGTGTTACGTTCCTCCGATTCTGTATCATCGATATATTCAATTGTATATTTGCCATATGGTAGTGGATAACCAAGTGCACGTCCAATATCGACCTTATTGATCGATAAAGAGGTAGTCGCGAAAACTTGTTTTACAAGTGAATATTGTTCGTGTTTCTAAACATATCAAATATAAGAAAAGATCTTTGGCAAAACAAATCGTTGTGCTTACTTTATTCGCGAAGATCCAACCACCTTTGTAAAGTTCTGTCACTGGTGATTTCAATTGCCATAATTCAAATCCTTCTTTTTCTAATTGAAACTCATCAAACAATGGTTTTAATGCTTTTTCAACAAGACCTGTTGCATACTCATGCATTACGTAATGTGCTAATAGAGTACACGGTTTGAGACCGCATAATGTAGCAAAAATTTCACCATCTAAAGTATAAATAATAATTAGCATTTATCTTTAGATACAATCAAACTTACATTCAAGTATATGACATGGATTATAATTTTTTAATCGACGTTTGTGGCTCAGAAGTTTCTTCTTGTCATTTGATAATGATTGTAAATATTCCCATTCCAACGATTTAAATTTGTGAAAAAATGCTATTTTAAAATCGTCTATATCACTGTCGGCCATCTAACTTGTTTTTTATTTTGATTGACTTTATACCGTACGAGTTAATTAATGATCAAGTATTTCGCGCCATTCTTTTGTCACAATAAATGAAAGTGATGGAGGAGGATATTTTAATCTTTCGACAAGCTAAGACCTATATATGTCTTAGAAGATGGCGCTCTTGAATGTCATATACATAGAATATAAAAATTAGATAATTATGAATTTGATGGATCATTGTATAGGTTGATTTTTGCAAGATAATAATATAACTACAGTTTTTATTGCAGATGAAATTATTCAAATTGACATTAATAATTGGGCATAGATATTTCAGGTTTGATAAATAGTAGTTTCTCGGGTATATTAATAAATCGGCTAATGCATATGTCCCCGAAAAGACTGTTTTTGACCAGATGAAACAATATCATGTCATTGTTTTCTTAGTTTCTTTTATTTGACAACAAAAATAGAAAGGGTGTGAGTGTGAATGAAGAAGAGGCACTCAGATTCATACCCATCCTCACCCACACCTTCGAGAGCGACTGAGGGTTTCGGTGAAGATACGTGTGGATGAAAGCAATACGTAGAAATACCACCTCCGCATAAACACCCACACTCTACTAAAAAGTATCTTAATAGATCATAATTATAGCAAATTCATATAAATATTTAGATTTTACAGAGTTAAAAGTAAATTTTATAATTACAATGTTACTTGAGATATTGATAAATAAGCAATAGAATAAAAGATAAAGCATACTAAAGAAGTATACAATAGAATAAGAACATAGAAATATTCAAGAGAACTTCGCAAATTACATGTCATGTTAGTATGTTATTTTTTCTCTACAATATTTTGTACAGTGTTGATTAACAAATATTTTTGAGAATACAAATAATAAAACTTAATAACTACAATAATTTAAGGTAAGATAAAAATTATGAAAGAATAGACATTTATCTCTTGAGAATTCCATGAGCATAACATTCACAGATGTTTAAAAGAATATCTATAGAACCATAGCGAGGATGTGTAATGATTATATCTTGATAAGTATCATTATTAAAATCATAAACACCAATAATAGAGTCATAACTGATCAGTTTATCCGATAATATGTTTTGCGTGTCAAAATGACCATCTCCATATCCAAGTAGTACATCTATACTATATTGATCGTTCGTAGCAGCAACAATATCTAAATGTCCATCACCGTTAAAATCACCTACAGCAATTGTAGATGCTGCGCCGTTAGATTTCATGATAAACTTCTTCTTGACGGTGAAAAATCCATTTCTATATTTAGATAACACAGTGACTATGTTTACCTTTTCATTAGAAATAACGATATCTGGTTGACCATCACCATCAAAATCACCGCTTACAATATGGCTCGGATTAGAACCAATAAAAGTAAAAGATCGCTTCTGTGCTTCAAAAGTTCCATTACCGAATCCAAGAAATATACCAACATTCAGAGCTCTATTATTGGTAACAGCAATATCTACGTGTCTATCACTATTAAAGTCACTGACCGTCAGGGATTTAGGCTTACTATTATGTCCAGTAGAAAACATCAGCTGCGATGAAAAAGTGTCGTTTACATTTCCAAGAAACACACAAACATTAGCATTCTCAGTATTAATGACAGCAATATCTGAATAATTGTCATGATTGAAGTCGGCTACAGCGATGTCGTTAGGTATACATTTCGTTGTCCCTAATGTTATATTCCGGATTCTAAAAGTTCCGTTCCCATTTCCAAAAAGAATATTTACATATTCTGAATTTCCAATGGTAAAGACGAGATCGGCTCGATTATCATTATTGAAATCACCAACTTCCATAATGTACACAGACTTAAAACTTCCTTTTGGAAAAATAGTTTCTGCTGTAAAAGTTTCGTGACCATTTTCAAGCAGTAAAATCGCACTTTCGAGATGTTCAGAAAAAACCACAGTATCAAGTCGACTGTCCTCGTTGAAATCAGCAACAACAAACATTAGACCACCATAATCAATAGTCGATATATTTATTGATATTGGTCGAAAATCTAATTTACAAAATGGCCCTAACGAAAAGAAAATAATGAATGAGTCTTTCATATTCTTAGAGTAAAAGCATCTGGAAAGAGATTTATCCAAGTTAATATTAGAACAGATATTACATTTTTAGTTTTAGCAATCAGCAAATAACAAGTTTTAAAATACATGTTACTGTCATCAAATCAAAACATGGAAAAGAACTTCTTCAAACTGTATCATCAGCCGTCAAAATATAATCTTTTGTTCTTCTAATAGAAGTGAAAATCCTTGTTAAGATCTAATTCGTGAATAGGAATAAGTTTCTAGTTATTCAAATTTAAGAAACAGTTTCATTTAACTATTATAGAGATAAAACATATAGTGTTATTCACAGTAATCAGAAAGTTCGTGACGATTTTATTTTGTATAAACTCTGAAGAAAACCTTGCTTTGTACTTTCATCATCTAGCTTCGATCACTGTAATATAGAAAAGTAGACAGAATAAAAGGTCAGTTCGAGTAATTCTAGGTGAATCTATAGTTAAAAGAGATCCACTAAGTTTTGGGACAGTAACTTCTTTTCTCGTATAATCAAATTATAAGAATTTATCTCAACAATAACTTTATAAGAACTGAAGTCCGTCAATTTCCCACTTTAATTCACTGACCTGCTGTGCTTGACAATGTTGCTGTTGTTGTGTTTATTGTTAAGTTCAAATTAGTAGTATCAATTGTTGTACTGATCGACGAAACTAGTAAAAATACAGATGATAAACACTCTTTTATAAAAACTTTATTAGCTTAAATATTAAGAAAATTCAAAGTAAAATTGCATATCAAAGAACATCAAGAATAATCAGTGACTATCACATTTACATTTCTTTCGTCTTTCTGAGGTTAATTTATTTTAAATTTCGAAATGAATTTGAAGTGATTTACCACGGCAAAAAATAACACTTGTTGAGAGAATCCGATGCTTACCTTGTTGGGCGACACAAAATGAAAAAATAGTTAGAACTACTATGGCCGAAATCAGTAGTAGACATCCGAGGAGGATCTTCCAAGAGCATCGAATTGATGTAGTGACAATTGTTCTAATAAAGAGATACTTTAGATTACAATTTGAATGAAAAGAAAAGAAAAGAAACATACTGAGATGTTATATGCGTTGGTGTTGGTTCTGAATTACAAGCAGGATTATGTATGGTTGTGCTAAGAGTAACATTCGGTGTTATTTCAATAGAGTTGACAGGATGAATAGTACTTGTTCGTTTTTTTCGATAATCATTTACTTTAGATGCAATTCGAACTATTTTAGGACAAAGCCATTTAAGAACAATAGATAAACCACCTTGAAGACCAAGTAAGATAGTTATTGTATAGATAAAGCTGCTTTTTTTTTGAATATAAGTATATGAACAATGCAATGGAGAACATTTATGAAAGTAAGATGAATAATTCATCTTTGTGTTCCATTTTTCGATGAATAGATTATCGATAAGTTCAGCTATTGTAGTGTTTATTGAGAAACGACTCGTATTGGCCAAGAGAGGATTATGAGATTTCGTGTAGTTAGTATATTCATGAATAAGATCAATACATGAACGATCATAAAAACATTCAAGAGTCGAAGCACGAAATGATTCGCTTGGAGTACAACCTATTTTTAAGCCTTTGACTGGAATCAGTTTAGATGAATTTGATTCGATAAAATTTGCTTGACTTGTACAATTTAAATATAGTCCACAAGAACATCCATCATATATTATAGCTCGAGTGAATGCATAAGTATATGTAGGTGCATTCGGAGCACCAATATATTCGAAATTTGTTGTATATGTTGACATGTAAGCATTTCCATGATTGATATTTCGAATTAAGAAGAGAAGTTGACGGAATGTAGTAGGAACATTTGATTTAGTTTGCTCGATTAACGAATTAAGTTGATCACGAAAATTTTTTTCAGATAGAAGTTGAAAAGTTACAAAAAGCGAAGTACGAAACTGATTAATAGAATCGTATACTGATGTTTTAGAGAGTTCACATAATCCTTGCAGAGCTTGTAAATGAGCAGAAAGAAAACGACGATAATCTCTTGTTACATAAATAGATAAGTTAGAAACTAGACCAGCTATAAGCTCATTTCGGTATTGTTTTGTTGCAAATGCACTCGAACAGATCTATAAATAACAAAAGAAATAAAAAGAGGGAAAACTCTATTCTCAATTTTCATATAAAGCGTCTACAACAAAATTCTCACAGAATAAACATCTTTTTTTAGTCACCTATCAACATACTTATTCATGTCGGTTGTCAACATTTACAATAGAGACGAAGAGAAGAATCGCTACTATATCAGCTGTCATTTATATTGAGCAGATTAGTATAATTTTGTCTTACCTCATGAAATATTGGTTCAATTTCGACAAATTGATCATAAATCGATGCAATCACTGAACACGGACATTTTAATTCATCTCCATATTTTTTTTGTGAATCGTTGTAAATACTAAAAGATGATATATCAAACGTTTTTGTCACTGCATGTGGCTGAACTATAGTATAGATGGTGAGAACACAAAGACCACCGATGAATAAAACAATGTAGAGACGAGTCGCCCATCGACCAAGACGTTTAGCTGTTATTCGATCCATACCACTGCTCATATCACGTAATGAGAATATGTTTAGCTCGATCAGAGTGGTACCCAAAAATTTAATTAGGCTTCGCATGATCGCTCTGAATCGTTCACACCAATTTTGATGAACTATACACACAAAAACAAATTATACATCTTCTTCGTTCATATAAAGCCTACTATTTCTCAACCGAATAAGGTGGTTGAAACAAATTCAAATATTGCTCTATATGAGATAACAAATATTTGAGGGTGTGAGTGTGTAGTCATTCGATTTCATTTACACCCACACTCACACCTTACTCCATATTTATTTTTTTTATAGATATCTAATCAATGATTACCTTGCTGTTCTTGTTGTTCTTGTTGTTTTTGTTTTCTTTTACGTATCATTGTCCATAATTTGAAGAGCAATTTGACAAAATAAGGAGTGATAAAACGTAGAGAAACAGCAAGACCACCGATCGTGGACAATAATGTTATAAATATTCCCATGATAGTCTTCGTACGCATTTTCTTATAATAAGTACAATAGTTCGGTGCACATGATTCGTAAAAGTCCTTATACGATAGAGATGGATTCCATTGTTCCACCATCATTTCTTTGATGATAGTTGATATTAAAGTATTTGGAGAAAAATGACTCCGTTCTGGGTTATAAACAAGAGGATGCAGATCAAACATGGATCTATTTAGTTTAAGCATCGAGTCCGAATCTGATGAGTAAGTCAGTAGATTTGCAAAACAATCTGAATCCGAATTTGGTTCTGAATGTAAACATTGAAGGGTCGATCTTAGAAGAGAATCACCAGCGAGACAGCCTCTAATAAAACCTGGTATTCTTTGAATAAGATTAACGTAGTCAATATCATGAACATGGTAGCTAAAATCGTAAACAACAGCCGCAGCTTGACAATCAGGATTAGTGGCACAAACACAGATGATAGATGTCGAATTAGTTTGAATTTCAGGCAATTTAAATAATAACTAGGAAAATAAAGAGAAACCTATGTTCTACTATCAATTAATTTTGAGCGATTAATACTTCTCTATCTTAGAAACGGAGAGTTTTTCAAGAAAAAAATTCATAAGAACATCTTTCATATGAAAAAGACTTGTGAAAAGTACAATGCGATTATATACAATGAATTATCAGTTAATATTCTGATACCATATTGTTCTGCTCTTTTAGATATGGATAAATGTGTTCTCGAAAAACGGCTTCATAGAGTTTATTTTGACTCTAGTCGTTTATCTCGATAAGCTAAATATTAAGAGTTAGATCGGATCGACTTATCATTTGATAGCTCATAGACTAACTTTTCCTAGGTTGGCTCAATCAATCCATTTAATATTATGATACCGTCATTCACTTAAATCGATTCTCATATTCAAAACGTTATGTAACATTACTTTTGTAAAACTAACTTTTTGAACTATTCTTTTAGACTGTTTTCACTAAATATTATCATATATTTGAAGTTATTATTTTGAAAAGAAGTTAGCATATATGAGAAAAGCATGTAGCAACGTATACTGTAGAATATTTATATAAAAAAAGTGTTATATGAATAATGCTTTAATGAATATATCGTGTATGATAATTCATCTATTAGTTACCAGCTGCCCTAGTAAGTTTTAGCTGCACACAGTTTTGCTTGCTTCTGTTGTTATATGCGCAATGTTTTCTTCTGACTGTTTGTGTCAACAAAGAATAATACACTTCTAACAAAAAGAGTAAACTTTTATAACTATATTGTTGAGTTTCTCGTCGAAGTCGATTGGGATTCGATAATCGACTATCATTTCTCAAAGGAAATAGAAGACTTTTTTTAATTTTGAATATTAACATACCGGTACTGAATGTTGACTGCTCTTTTCATCTCTGATGTCGTTCATGATCAGATTATTCCTTTCAATAATGTTATAATGCTTAGCTGGTATCATATATGGCTGATCGACCTGTATAAAAAGGCGCACAACATCGTTCTGAAGATTAAAGTAAGAAATTGTCGATTCATAAAATTGCTTAAGAGTCACATTTAGTTGTGTATTGAAATCGATTTCATGGAACACAGTTGAAGTGATCAAGAACTGCGTCAAAAAGCGGTCGACAGCATCATGAACTGTTTTATTAGCTAGGAGACAAAGGTCGGACAACAATCGGAATTGTAACGAAGTCGACTGAAGCCAGTCATCATAATTATAGTAAATTTGGTTTGGTATCCATAATGAAATCCATTCATCAGTGATAAAAATACTTGAACATACTTGATGTAAGGTCGGAGATAATAGAACAAATGAACGATACGAGATTATTTGCGTTGAACAAGGACAAGTGAGTGTAGTGGAGTGCAAAATTTGCAACTCTTTATAAGTAATATATGACGGATTCGAAATAGTTATTGTAACTGTTTGAGTACTCAATGTAGTGAAGAGAAGAAGAATAATAATTGAACCTAATGAGAAAAATAAAGAAATGAACATGCTATGATAGACATGCCTTAGATAGAAGGATCTTGACAAAAATTGAACAATAGAAATTTATCATTTATTAATGATAAAAGACATTAAATGAGGAATTTGAGAAGTTCACTAACATAGATCTCAATATCTTCTAGAAGAATCAGTAGTGTTACATTTGAAAGATGTATTTAATTCTCATAATTTCATTAAGAAAATCAAATATTCAACTATTAATAAGAGAGATAACCTATATATGTATTCCGCAAAAAACAAAGTTATGCACAGCAAAATATAACTATACCAGTTAGTATAATCAAATAGATATATGTGGTAATCTTTTGTTGTTTAATACTGTTTTCTGTCCGATCATTAGCCTTCTTAAATAAGTTTAATCGTTTCATCGATTGAGTAAATCTACTCCAACGCATGTTTTGACACACTACAAATTAAATATATAAATTTTATTTACTATGTAATATTTTTTTTATTTCTTTTAAAACATACCAAAATTGATATTTCTGTTTCTTAAACGACGTCTCATTTTCGATGAGGTATTTACTATAAACGATGTCGTTAAACGAAGTATCATAATGAGACCACCATAGAGACTAATGAAAAGAGTAATTCCATAAATGAATTTAGCTCGATGTGCCGTCGTATATGTGCAGAATGAAGGATGACATTGATCAAAATACTTTGAATAATTTATTTTTGGTAACCATTCGTCAATCAAGAGTTCATTTAAATAATCATTAAATGAAAGATTTTGTTGCTTCGAAGTTAGAACAGAATCGGTCCAATTGATGTGCGACTATATAAAATAAATACATATGAAAGTTAAGATAGTCTCATACATACATGATTCAAACGTGGAAAATAATCGAACAATAGCTGCAAGCATTCGATTTCATACAAACAATCGAATGTACTTTGAAGAAGAGCTTCAAGAGGAGTACACCCTGCGAAGAATCCACTGACATTTGTAGAATCTGGCAGATATTCAAAGTTAAATCTTTCAAAGACAGGCTCAGATTCATTTATTACTGAATTAAGAGTAGCCGCAATCATTGGATTATGTTCACCACAGTTCAATCTGTTTCCAGATGCATGAGTGTACGCCGTTGAATATATATATGAATATTGATCCGCGATAAAATGCGGTACTAGTGTAACTATTAAATTCGTATTAAGAGCTGAAATTAAGTAGTTTCCTCGAATCGTTGATCGGAAGTACTCCAAGAACATAATCATTCGAGCAGATGCACTGTTCTTAAAAGATTCAACGATAGCATTCACTTCGCGTTGTACGTGTATATCAGGAAGAAGATATATAGTAACAAATTCGTTACTACTAACATCATTTTCAGTATGATTAACTATGTCTTGAGCCAATGAACAAAAACTGGACAAAATTTCAAACTAAATAAAAACAAAATCAATCTTGAGAGTGGATGTGCGTGTGCCTGAATTCATCTTTTCTGGACACAGTTTTTAGCTTTTTCATCTGCAGTATTTCTTATTTTTGAATGGGATAAATTCTTTTGTTTGTCCTCATATGATATAAATCAATTCTGAAACTAGAATATTAAATCTCTTATGAAAAACCGCGACAATCAGCTCAATGTTTTTTTTTCAGAAAAACCTAGCAATTTACCTGAGAACTAGCTGTTGCTCGAAAATCCGATACTCTATATCGACTTGCATTTGATAAATATAACGCATGAATCCATTCTTGACTAACGAAACGACTTGAGCAAACAGGATGAAGTTTGATTGTATTGGAAACAAAATCTTTATAAGATATGCTGGTTGCTGAACATGGACATGAAAGAGTTTCCTTATATTTTGAGTAAAGTTCATTGAATTTGACAGGTGTAATATCAGAGACAGTAACTGTTGAAGATTCTGTCTTCATCAAAGTAGCGTAGAAAATAATATATAAAGACACTGTAATAAATAAGAAAAATTATGCAACTACTTATATTTAATGTTGAAATTCACCTATAAATACAACTAAAAAATATGTCATACCATTCTTCTTCAGTCATTTCAGGCAAAGATCAATCACATAAAAATGATATTTAACATTTCCTACGACTAATTAGTATCATTTTAGATATCTTTAATTCTCAATTTGTTCATATTTAAGGCTAAGAAAAATTATAAATTTCAACTAACATCTAGTTCACTTATATTTGTTAATGTATTATAGACACTCCTAAAAGTCATATTGACTGTTCTGCCTTAGCTTTCGACTTGAGTTATTTCTGATATAACGGTCGAGCTTTTTTAGTAAAAGGTGTTATCTTCGGGATATATACTATCATTTCCATAGACAAACTCCCAGAATAATACTTAGAAAGGTGCAGATCTATGTGTGTGTGTGTGTATAAATTAGGTTATTATGCTGATCTCTTACCATCACTCACTGTATTCTCAACAGTATCAGAGTAAATATCTGATTTCTGCTTTTCTAATAGTTTTTTTTCATAAATTTGTCTAAAATTAGTATCCATGGAAAATATACTACATCAATTTTCTTCAAGCAATTTGAATAAGTTTGTAGACGAGGAAATAGGAAATCAGTTAATGATTCAAACACAAATATGCGTTTAAAGAACGAAAGACGTGTGTGTGACTTACCCATGAGAAGAAGAACATATAGCCAAGTTTTATATTTTTGGTGTTTAAGAACAATTGCTGGATCTTGTGGTTCATCATCGTCATCATAATCATCTTCTTCAAGCATAAAGAGATTATAATTGAATAGTTTTCGAATGAACCAATGAAACAAAGACTTGAGATTCATCTTTCAAAGAATCAACCTTTTGAAGAGTGTAATATTTGTTTTTGATTACTTCAAACGTCACAAGACTAGTTTACTATAAAAATGAAAATTTATTATGCAAAGTCGTCGTTAACGAATAGATAGCAAAATAACGAAATAACTAAAAATATTTGTAAGATTAACCAAGGGCACGTATTCTCGATCAGTGAAATATATGCTGAGTCAGATATCAGGGTGTGGGTGTTGGTATGAGTGAGCGTGGGTGTGAGTGTGAGTGTGAGTAAGCGTGGGTGTGGTTATTGTATTTATCTTATAATCACTTCCACACCCAGTTTAGATTTGGGTTAGAGATCCAGACTTGACTAACAGTTCATGTTTCAATTTGCACGCGCTATAAACACATTATGACGCGTAGAAGTCTTTTTCTGCTTGGGTTTTATATGTGGAGGATTTTAATTGTAGATATAAATGAAAACTGAAAAAATGTCCAAGCTAGGCATGTATCGAGCCCGAGCTTTGACTGAGCCTCGGGCTCGGGTTTGGTCATACTGCGGCTCGGACTCGTTAAGGACTCGGGTGTGAGGATGAGTGCGGGTACTATTCTTTTCACTCTTACTCACACTTTCACCGACGCTCTCACCCACACTCTCACCACACCCTCAAGATGTACAAGTATACGAACCTAGAAAAACTGTCAATATATTTAGATTAGTAGACACAAAAAAAATCGACCAAACATCATCAAACCCTGAAGATGGCGAATATTGTCTGAAGGTGAAAAACCTGACAAATCGAGCAATATCACTCCACTGATATGTCATAGAAAATCTTTGAATGGTTCGATGATGTGTAGGAATGGTACGATGTTGTATTCCACAGATATCCAATTAACAATACAAGTTTAGATAAAAATGATACTGTGAAATAGAAAATGAACTGTTGAATCTTCGCTATCAAAACAACTTTAGAGTTGATTGATATTTTATTTTATATACTGGAACATTGTAGCACTACTATGGAAAGTCTTGATATGTATCCACGAACTGGGTTTCGTTTATCATTCCTTTATTGCATGAAATTTGAACAAAATACTCACAGAAATAAATCGAAGAATACTGTTGAAATATGAGACACAACACGATCAACACTGAATTTGAATAGAATGAGCATTCTCTTGAACACTCATATAACGACAAACTGTGATCGATCGTATTCATATAACTTATTTTTTATTTTAATAAATAAAAAAAAAGTTTACGAGACTACATGATATTTTTTATTATTTGATAATAAATGATGATCGATGACAAAGTTGTTTTCAGTTATGGCATGCATATTATTATTATAATATGTTCTAATATGAAAATTTGTCTGTGGAATACAATTTTTAAATGAATGTAGGAAGAAACCTAAGGATATTTCCTTGTAGAGTTACAATGTAAACTATGCAATACCTATTATAGTTAGTGGGTGCCAGTGCGAATGAGGGATGGGTGCAGGAGTGATCAAGCATATTCTGCTCGTATTCTATCCACACCCACTCGCTCGCACCCTGAAGATATTATTTAATAATCAATGTATTTCATTATATAACACCAATTACTATTATTATTATAAAAACATAAAAAAGAAAATTACTATATAAAAAACAAAAATATTTTGAAATATTAAAAGAACAAACTGAGCAATGTAAAAACCAGAGTATGGGTGTGAATATTAAGTTAATCATCCACACCCACACACACACGCTCGATACACAAAAAAGTATTGTAAATTATCGAAAATTCCAATAGAGTTTACATAATAATTTTTCATTTTCGATATAACGAGTCTTCTTTCTCAGGACTCGTTTGATTAAATTTATATTGAATTGAAGAATCAAATTATTTCGAAAGTTTATTTTAAATAGAAAAAGGATAATAAGTAATATGAAGTATTCATACTGAATTTGATGATTATTTTTGTCTTTTGACCATTACTCATACCAAATAAAATTATAGATAAGAACATTTTTTTTCTCATGCTGTGTTTCATATATATGATTCAAATCAAACTTACAAAGAATCAAGTGAAGAAGAAAAGAAATGCTTTAGTTTATTCATAATGTACAAACCTTAAAGTAAAATAAAAGAGAACTCACAGACTCAACAGTTTCCAAGAAGCATATGAGTCTATCTAATTAATCCTCACCCAGATCATCTTCAAGATTAAGATCATTCTCAAAGTTTATAGTGCATGTAGAAATTTAAACTATCATTTAGTTTTGTTAATCTATATAAAAAGAAAAATGATTCTCTTAATGTCAGAACAAAAGAGATAATGATAGATAAAGTAAGAAATCAAAAAAACTAATTTCACATCATTACTGAATTATCGAATTTCCTCTGACCTTTTCTCTTTATCTGAGTTAAGCATGCGCAATATGATAAGAGCAGCACACACTATTTACGAAAATGTACATGATATTTTATATTCATTAGTCTTTCATTTTAACAATATAACATACATAAAATGAAGTTAACAACGACTTTAACATTTTCGTTTATAAGTCTATTTTTATTTAATACAATGTTCAAATTAACAAGTACCAAAGTGATTGACTTAACACACAGTATGTTGAAGAAACAATCACCAGATCTTGCCTTAGAGACCATCGATACAAATCCAGATAATAATAAGATCGAACACATCGTGCAGAAAAGATCCGCTTATAGATTTCGACCTTCTCGTCATCATCATCATCATCGTCCTTTGTATAATCCAAACGTTATTCCTGGACAAAATCCATATATTGGCCCTTTGTATAATCCAAATGTTATTCCCGGGCAAAATCCATATATTGGTGGTCCTTTGTATAACCCAAACGTTATTCCTGGGCAAAATTTATACCCTGGTTCTTGGCCAAATGTAAATCCAATGGGAATTCCACCATATCAACCACGTTATCGTCGATCATTATCGATATTTGATAATAAACGAAGAAATGAAAATTTCATTTAAGATATAAAACATTAAATATTCTTCTTCTTAATGAGTATATTTTGCACAGGCTTTACTATACGCTCTTCACCAATTTTTTGTTGTACAATAATAATAAAAAGATATATTTATTTCATTCGTTTCTGTCGGATGATCAAATCGTACAGGATTCAACGCTGTATTCGTGCACATCGATAAACATTATTGAATCCTAAAAATGTCATTCAATAAAAATCTGAAAGATATGATAACTGTTACTGAAGGCATAGTTCAACAGTAAATCAAATAATAAAGTTCATTGTAATAGATGTTGATGAGTAACAATAACGAGTTTGATGACAAATAATATGATTAAAGATTAAAAGATGAAATGAATTTGAGCTCCAATATGCTTTACTAATAAAAAAGCAGACGTAAAAAGATTTATGATTTACTTATCTATATCCATTTAACAAAAAAAAGAAAAATATACTGTTTTCTTTTTTCAGCAATAGATTATTTGAATGCATATAAAATCTCGATTTCATCTCATTTTGTGATTACTCACTCCTTAAGATGGTTATTTATTTTACCGTGAACTGTTGATAGACAAGCTCTTAGAAATTCTATTGATCATTATAAATATATTCTGATAAGACGTTCAAAAAATTCAGATTGATTGATCAATATACATAATTTTCTTAGAAATAAAACTGCTTTATCTTTTACTTTAAATGTTATTTTTTAAAACGACAACAATTTCAAAATGAACATATTACGAAATATAGAAATTATTTCTCCAATACATAACGGGACTTGATGGAAAAGTGATTGCATAATTTCTATATTTTCCATCTCTAATAATATTACACGAAAACTTCAAAATCTTTTAATAGATCGAATAGTTTTCTTAAAAATTCTATTAAATTTTATATATTAAAGACGAGTAAATACTGATACAAATTATATTGTGGATTTTACTATGAAATATATGTATATAAAATACACGCTTCGATGATTATATGTTACTCTCGTATGATCCTACGATATAACTATGTATCGCCATCTATATTTATGTATTTAGTCGAAAACCATGTACTGTCATGTATTAAGTTTAATAAAAAAATCATGCTGATCATCCTTTTCTTCGTAGTCGAGTATAGTGGTAATTGGATTGCTTTTCGAAATAAATTTGAAAATACAAAGACAAATATCGATCATATGAATATGTAAATATAACATGATAAAATCAATAATTTTTTTTATGACACATATCATATAATAGTGGGACGGAGGAAGAACAATAACAAGCTCTCCAACCAGAGTGTGGGTATGGATTTCTTCATATTACCAACATGCCAACTCACGATGTCGGCTATAATGAAACTTGATGAAAAATATTTTCCGCCTTCTTTGAGACGGTCGATGTATATATGGAATATATAGTTTGCCCATACAGTGATGACCTATCGTCAATGAAATATGAAATGTTTGCAAGATATCTGTTAGCTATCACGAGAAGATGTATTAAATAACTTTAATTTGATTCATTTCGTATCTCTGAAGGTATTTACAGCATATCTGATATGTAGAATATATGACACTTCTCAATTTTAGATAAATATATTTCGGTTAATGATGATATATTCAGTCAGTTGTCGATTTGATTTATTCATCGAGATGCATCTAAAATATTTATTTCATTGACTCTATGAACAGTTTCATCATTACGATTTGTTCGCGTCCGAAACGGATGTTCAACCATCTTGAGGGTGTGTGTGTGAGCATACACAGAAAATACACTTTTCTCACTCCCACACCGTCATACACAACAAATGTGTGTGGAAACTTGATCTGGATAGGAAGAGGATTCTCAAGACATTATACTTTATTAGAAAGTGATCAAATCAAACGATTGTGTAAGAGTTAAAAAGAAAGGAAATATTGGGTCGCGAAGCTTTTTTTGTATAGTTATTAAATAGACTTAAACCAAATGAAGAGTCTTTTCAAGGTTAAGTGGAGTATGGTGGATATTGGGCCTTGAAATATGGGGGAAGTGATTCATACGATGGAGGTTCTTCTTCCATATGAGAGGGATACATCGACGGACTTGAAATTGTATAAGGTGGTTGAGAGATATTTCCGTTGATGTTTGTCATGGGATACATCTGTGGGTGCATTGTTTGGTTACGTGGCGCTGAGCGGATGTCTCGATTCGAAATCGCTTTTCGTTTTTGTCGATATACACAAACACTAAGAAGACCAGCAAATAATATCACACAAGGTACCACTATACACACAGTTTTCCATGTTGCCCATTCAGAAGCACCTGTATCTGCGCCTACACAAAAATAAAAAACTAGATAGATACAATGGTGTAATGTTTGCTTGTTTTGCTATGGAAAGTTAAAAAAAATAAGATTTTTTCAAGAATAGTTTTCAGTAATATATTTTCTTTATTTGATTATCATATCATCCAGTAGAAAACCATAAACTAACTGTTTCTATCTTCAAAAGTGTTTGATTGAGGAGTTGTCACGAAACTCAAATATTTTCTTAGCAACTGATCATAGTAATAGCTTGTCTTGCAACGCACACTTAAAGTTGAATCTATTGAGAAATAGGTAAAGACTTGTATTTATCGTCGTGTTGAGTAGTTTTCGCTTAGGACCTAACAGTTTTACGCAGCGATATTTTTCTTTAATAGAACAGGCTTTAAGTTTTGTGCGACTTTTCAATCTTGTTACATCGAGCAGTGAAAAGATAAATAATTTCCACATCATGATATTTCATCAGGCTTTGTAAATCCTGGCATTGCTCTACTCTTTATTATCGCTAGAATTCGACTCGAAAACTAGTCACTATAAAACTCTTCACAAATGAGACAAACACCTTTGCTCTTTATTCTATGCACCTATGATAAACTATAGCACTTACTTGAGGGTGTATATGATGATAGAGTAACCGGCGCTGGACCAGTGGCAGCGATCCGAAAACTGCCTGTCTGCCATGTGCTGAGGGTGGTGAAAACCAAAACATACGTGCTACCAGATTGAAGAGTTGCATTAATTCGAAATTGGTGACTATTACCACTGTCATCATCAGATGCAATTAAATTGCGAGAAGGTTTCGATGGATTGAAAGGATCATTGTATAAGTAACCATAAGTATCATAAGAACTAATGCTGGTAAAACTGTATCTACCACTCGTACGAACGGTCACTTGAATTGCTTCGTAATAATAGCTTGTTGATGAATAATCAGGTCGGGCAAACGATTGACTGCTCGATAATAAATAGCCAGAGTAAGATGATATAGTAGAAGCTGGACTGCTCGCTAAACAAGTGGCAAAAGAAAACCATCACTAGAGGGCATCGTATGACGATTCGCAGAGCAAAACAGATCTTTCTAGGGCACGGACTACATGTATTGTAAGATCATCTGATGAAAACAATTAAGCAGATGGTTTAGAAAACTATGTCTGAGCATTTTCGTTAAATGTTCCTTCGCTGCCAAAAACTTTCACTTGTCGTATCGTATGGTTACTCGCAAAACAACAGAAACTCAACTGTGGAGAGATCAGTACACGCAATCTAATCTGAGGCAATCTTTTACTGTACTTTTAAGATTTGGCATAATTGCGTACTATGAGTATACATAGTCGATAGCGAAGCTTATTTTAGATCTGATACATATTCATAAACGCTACAGAGGTCTTCGAAGGTGATGAAGAATTGCTCGAAGTAAATAGAAAGTTGATCAGTCATTCTCTGCTATGCCTACTCAAATCAATGGCAGTCATCATTCAAACTATTGTATTCGCTGGTCAATAGTTGTGAAATCTTTGCTGTCTTGAAGTACGTTGAGTTAGTGTCAACTTACTATGTATTCAGTCGTATGAGAATTAAATCTAGAAACTGTTATATAGTAGTTTGATTAGCTCACTTATTGGTCTGCTCGTTGATGGTGGAACATTGACTGTGATCATGTAAGCTCCAATTGTGTTCTCTGCGAAGGTGGTGACAATCAAAACATATGTTCTTGTGGATTGAAGAGTGGTGCTGATTCGAAATTGCCCGCTATCAGCGCCGTCGTCATCAATTGTTATCAAATTCCGAGATGGATCCGATGGATCAAAAGAATCAAAATAGAAACAGCCAAACGTGTCGACTGAACTAGAGCTTGTAAAAACGTATGTACCAGATGTGGGCACGGTCATTCGAATCGCCTGGTAATAGTAGTATCCTGAACTTTTACCAGGTCGAACAAAGACGGGACTATTGTATGATAAAGAGCCAGCTGTAGTGGTGTCTAAATGTATCGAGTAAAAGCATCATTTTATCGCGTGACGTAGAGAATATCCAAGCAATCAAGGATAATCAATGTCTGAGATGTATTTTAAGATGAATATGAGTCTTAGTACTATTACGACGTGTTGAAAAGTTCCTGTCTATGTTATTGTATTTCTCACTGTTCTTCGAAAACGATAGGCTACTACGAATCCCAGTATCAAAGGTAGCACTATCATATACTGTAGTATTATTATTTTACATCTACGAAGAATGGACTGTTCACATTTATTTACTAACCTAACGCTGTTGATAGAATAAAAGCTGACAGTGCCACTGATGCTGGCCCATTGACTGTAATTACGAAACTTCCTATTGTATTCGTATCATAGGTAGTGACGATCAAGATATATGTTCTTGAGGATTGAAGAGTGGTGCTGATTCGAAATTGACTATTACTAGCGCCGTCGTCATCAGTTGTTATTAAATTCTGAGATGGATAAGATGGATCAAAAGAATCAGAATAGAAACAGCCATAAGTGTCTTTTGAACTAGTGCTTGTAAAAATGTATGTGCCAGATGTGGACACGGTCACTCGAATAGCTTGGTAATAGTAGTCTCCTGAACTTTTATCAGGTCGAACAAAGCCGGGACTATTGAATGATAAAGAGCCAGAATATGTCGTTGAAGCAATATTCGATGTCGTGCCTAGAACAAGTGGAACACACATTATTTATTCTTTCTGAGATTTATTTACGAACAGATCTGCATCGTAAGTCTTCATGGTAAGTTATTCATCAGCAGAATCAATACAGTTCGTCAGCTAGCAATTAAGTCGTTTCGAAGTCACTATCAGTTGTTCAAGGAAGATCTGATGAGCATTCAGCTATCTTAACCTTCCGTTGGTCCAGTTGAGGAGAAGTGAAACTGCTAGTATATTCTATGTTTCTACGGTTTTATTTGGCTTTCAATTTCGAACTCTGATGCTAGATAATGATATGACTTTGAAAAAATAAGACCCAAACTCAAGCAGAATAAATCTAATGGTCGAGACTGATAAACAGCATTTCGAAAAACGTTTGGTGAGACCATCGTGACTTACGGACACGATGCTAAATGGGATCAATCTCCATAACCGGTACAGAATTCTAAACATGTTCTAAGTGTCTTACTTGGAATCAAGTTCAACATCAATCCTAATATGAAAATGCACATTAAATCAGAACCATTCCATAATTTATGAAACACACGAGAATATTTGGGCGATAATCGTTGTGTGGCATTCGTTCTTTTCGCGTGTATCTGCATGTTGATAGATGAATCATTCATTTGAGCACTGGTATCTTCCATATGTTGAAATGCGCTCAAGTTTAAAGACTCTTATGGTACGGCTAGAAGTCTTTCGTTGTTCGCTTGCTGCTTTACGAAGTAGTGAAAGAAAAACAACGAAAGAAGATAGTCTTTAAAGCGTTATCAAACTGGTCTTATCTCACTTATTCATATATATTTGTTGACGTGAAAATGATTCATACCAACACATGTCGTCACATTCCAGACTGTTTCTAACGTCGTTTGCAATATTCTAAATGGTTGTTCCGCGAATATTACTTTTTGTGTTTAAACTGAAAAGTAAATATATCTTTCTTTCATCTGTCCGTAAACGACATCTAGCCTGTCATTTGATGCGCTGTTATTTTAACTAGAACATCATATTCAAAGAGTAATTCGAAATATTTTCAGACAGATAAAATTTCATCTTAATTTTCACTTCTCGCCTGCAACGTAGCCTTATCGTTGCTCTTTTATTCTAGTCACATATTTCAAACTGTCTCATTAGACTCCCATTTAGGGGTAGGACAGTTCCATATTATTTCCGTTCTTAGGAACTGTATTAACAGTTCTTTTGAATAGAACTGAACTGAACTAACAGTTCTTTGAATAGAACTCAACTGAACGAATAGTTCTTTGAATAGAACCGAACTGTACTAACAGTTCTTTGAAAGGAACTGAACTGTATTAACAGTTCTTTGAATAGAACTGAACTGAACCAACAGTTCTTTGAATAGAACTGAACTGTACCGACAAGTTCAGTTCCTTTCAAAGAACTGTTATTTCAGTTCAGTTCTTTTCAGAGAACTGTTGTGAAAACTATTTTTTTGGAAATAAAAACAAATTTGAAACAAAACAGTTCTTTTAAAAGAACTGTTGAAACTGACCAGTTCCTCTGAAAGAACTGTTGATACAGTTCAGTTCCTTTCAAAGAACTGTTAATACAGTTCAGTTCTATTCAAAGAACTGTTAATACAGTTCAGTTCCTATCAGAAGAACTGAACTGGTAGTTCTTTTGACCAGTTCATCCGAACTTGGAACTATGAACTGTCCTACCCCTACCAGGGGCGTAAGTCAGGTGTCGGAGCAGGGGGGGTATAGGGGGGGCGTAAGCCTAGTTTTTCTATTTTAATGGTAAAAAAAAGTGAATTTTCTAGAAGCAGGGGGGGCGCAAACCCCTTTTTCCTATTAGTTTTTGGAAGCAGGGGGGGTTATGCGCCCCACGCGCTCCCCCCCCCCCTATTTACGCCACTGACCCCTACTCCCATTACTATTTACAAAGGCAAATATGTTTTCTTTTGTTGCCATTATTAGTTGGTCGAATATATTCACCTACGTAAAAAACATGATCGTATAATGCATTTTTATTATCTTCTCACTCTTATTTAAGGTTTTCTTTTCTTCTTGATTGTATAGATAAGAGTTCGTCGTTCTCATATGACTCAGCAGGTATCCATTAACATTAAACGAATGTTAAGTTTTCAATCGTATCCTAGATGTCATTATTTTCGTTCTTGAATTCTTATACACGAAAATGATTTTGTTGTGTAAAACTAGGGTGTGGGTAACAGACTAGTATATACTCTCACTCACATCCACACCCACACCCTCAAGATGAAGTGAATAGTAATAGTTGACCATGAAAGACTGTCCTTTTTCTAGTGTGATTATCTTCTATATATTCGCATTTACCCGACAATCAACGATTGAATTCAAAGTAGAAAACGTGAATAAGATTTTTTTTCTTTAATAAAAAGAAGACGTTGAGAACATTTCAAATGTTGGACGAATCAGATGAAGTTTTATAAATTATTGATTGTGAAATTATCTCCAATACACTTTGTGTCAATCAATGTGGTAGTATATTTTTGAAATGAATTCAAGATATCGCGTAAATATGATATACAACATAAATTATGTCATTTGTTTTAACTATTATTGATGAATAGATTTTAGTTTTTAAATTCATTTATATATACATAGAACATTTGTACATAAACTATGACAAACAATTCTATTAACAATATGTTTGACTTATTTATCTGACAAAAACTACCTATGTGCAGTAAGTATAAACAATTTACAAATTTTGTTTTCTTAAATCAATGGAA